TAAATATATAGAATATCATTATTATAAAAGAGATTGTGCAAAGCTCATATCCTGCATAGCCAGCTAATCGAGAAACCCGTCTATGCCTCAGCTGTGGCTAATACCAGGCTGTCTGCCATTGACCTCCAGGAAGCCTAGTCCCATGGGACACGTAGCTCCCGTCCGGCATAATGACATATGTCATGTCACACAGACGACACTGGAGTTGGTGTGGCACTTCAGGGTTGGCCTTCCCTTTTCAATCTAACCTTTCTGGAAATGCCCTTCTAGACATGGCCACATGTGTTTCCATGGTGATTCTAAACACCATCAAGTCGACAAGATTAGGTATCATAGTTCCCTTTGTCAGTCTGCTAAAGGATGCGGATACTTCTCATAATAATTTAGGGTGTACATAATACTCGTTAATGTCCTGGATTTTATTAGCATATTTAAGGACCCTGGGCTAAGTACTAAGCACCTGTCTTTCAAGTATTTGAAAACCATTTGTTGCTGCATTGGGCACCAATATTTAAAGGTCAATTTCATTCTTTATCCATTCCCCTTGTTCTAAAGGGAGGGGTCGGTCTCCTTTCTAGGAACTTCTGGGGACACGGGAAGTGCTTCCATTGAGAGTGTTCAGGGATGCAAGAATATGGACATCATTGTTCTGTTGCCCAAAGGCCTTTGCACAAAGATTCAGGAGCTCCAGATGACAACGGTGCTGAAGGAGAATGTCCATGTGTTTGGAGGTAGGTGCAGGGGCTGAGCGGTCCTGGCTTAACTGGCTGTTTTCATAGGTGGGATTAGCTGTGTATGGAGGTGCCTTGGCTTAGCTTTGGGAAGGTTCTGGACTTCACAGTTTTCCACACTAGCTGGCACATGACTTTAAACTTGCACTGTGTTGAATGGTTGCAGCTGGTTCAGGTATCTGTCAGGGCTGCCTCTGTGCAGGTCCACATGTAGGCAGCCATGTAGAACCATAACTTAAGCCAAGCACTTGCTTAGTTTTGGGCACTAAAGTGTTGTGAGCACAAACATATTTCATAGTTGAGAGACCATGTCAGTGCGTTTTGGCAGTTCATGCCCTTCCTTTGGGGACAGACTCCTAGGTCATGAATGTAAACAGCCAAATATTAAAATATGAAGCTGCTCGGTGCTACCTGCTACCAGTTCCGCTATAGTTAGTTGGTCATATGATGAAGAGCTTAACTTTCATGGGAATGGTAGCTTTAGGGGTCTTGGTTGGGGTTTTACACACTCTGACCATGCATGCAGCCTGGAACTTGATACACTTGATACACAGGAAATGTTGTAATAATCAATCAATCAATCAATCATTCAATAATGACAGAGATGGCTGAGGGGTTAAGAGCACTGGCTACTCTTCTAGAGGACAGGGTTCAAGTCCCAGCACCCACATGCAGCTCACCACTATCTATAACAGCAGTTCCAGTGGGATCTGATGCCCCCTAGAACCTGCGTGGGCACTGTATGCACATGGTACACAGACATACATGCAGGTAAAACACCCATGCACATAAGATAAAATAAATTAAAAATAAATAAATAAAAATAGAATTCCTTCTACAGCTTGCCTGGGTCCTGGTATAGTCCTGTGGTGTTCTCAGTGAAAATGGCCCTCATAAGCTCATATGTTTGAATGCTTGGTCCCCAGTTAGTAGAGCTGTTTGGGAAGGATTAGGAACTGTAGTTCTGTTGGAGGAAGGGTCCCTTTATTGGAGGTGCGTCACTGGGGATAGGTTTTGAGGTTTCAAAAGTTCAGGTCAGCTGGGTGCTCTCTCTCTCTCTCTCTCTCTCTCTCTCTCTCTCTCTCTCTCTCTCTCTCTCTCTCTCTCTTCTGTCAGTGAATCAAATGTAAACTCTCAGTCATTGCTTCAACCCCATGCCTGCTTGCTTGCTGCTGTTTCCTGCCATGATGATCTAGAACTAATCCTCTGAAATATAAACAAGTCCCCAATTAAAGACTTCCTTTTGTAATTGCCTTGGCCATGGTGTCTCTTCACAGCAATAGAGTAGAAACTAAGACAAACCCCATAGAGGATGATCTGACGTTAATATACCAGTGTTGACAAGGAGCCCAGACCCTGGAAAGAAGTCCTCCCATGAGAGAAGCACGAATACCCTTTGTCTAGCTGCATCAGTGCAGAGGAAAAGGCCCTCTGCTCTTTTCTTTGGCAATCACATGTGCATTCCAGTGTAAAGTCCATGGTTTGGCTAATCCATTGTTGGCAAACTCCTGCACACTGGCCTTGGTGATTGCCCGTACCTGGCTGAATTTTTCCTATTGTCATTGTGAGGCTTTGATGAAGAATGTTTGGGCTCCTGAGGGCCCCTGTTGTTTCCCACATGCCAAGTTTGCTAGTCATAGGTCTAGGACTGCCTTTTCCTAGCATGACAGTAGAGAACTGCCATGGATGAAATCTTCACCTGGGAGCTGGAGAGCATTGCCCACCTGTGAAATAGCAGCAGCTGTGTGGTAGATAATAAGCGGAGCATGCCGGGGCTGGAGAGATGGCTCAGTGGTTAAGAGCATTGACTGCTCTTCCAAAGGTCCTGAGTTCAATTCCCGGCAACCACATGGTGGCTCACAACCATCTGGAATGAGATCTGGTGCCCTCTTCTGGCCTGCAGACATACACACAGACAGAATATTGTATACATAATAAATAAATAAATATTTAAAAAAATAAGCGGAGCATGCCATGATTATCAGAGCTCAGGTGTTTCTGTTCTGTGTGTCGAGGAGATAGTTCTGCGGGCTTTAAAGACATCAAGCTCATTCTTAAGCAGTGCTGCCCATGTTCTCTTCCTTCTTCGAGGCGTCTGGCTTGGCAGTTAAGAGGATGTGTGTAGATTCAGAGGTAACGGGAAAGATGTGTTTTCCCTTTGTGAGCTCAAGGAGTGGGGGTGGATTCATGGACACCAAGTGTAAACTTTACTAATTCATTGTTCTCATGACTGTGTCTGTGATGAGAAGGATGTACACGACACAGGGGCCACATGAAGGTCAGAAGACAGCTTTGTGGAGTCATTTCTTTTCTTCCACCTTTGAATGCACACCTGAGATCAGTCTGTCATGCTTATGTGGTATATAGTATTTTGGAAATACATATTTGTTTTTAGTTTACAGGGTCTTACAATGAAGAGAGTGCCTGAGTCTCAGAAGAGAGTTGGGCTTTGGATTTTTCAACAGTCTTGAGACTGATAGATTGTGGGGACTTTTGAAGTTTCACTAAATGCCTTTTGCTTTATGATATGGCCACAAGCCCATGGGGGCCAGGGAGTGGAATGTGGTGGTTTGAATGAAAATGGCCCCTGTATATTTGAGTGCTTGGTCCTTGGTTGGTAAAATTGCTTGGGAGGATTAGGTGTGACCTTAATAGAGTTGTCACTGGAGTGGGCAAAGCCCTCAGCCATTCCCAATTAGCAGTCTCTCTCTCTCTCTCTCTCTCTCTCTCTCTCTCTCTCTCTCTCTCTCTCTCTCTCTCTCTCTCTCTCTCTCTCTCTCTCCCTCGTGCTTATGGACAAGGATGTAAACTCTCAGCTACCACTCCAGTGCCATGCCTGCCCCCAGTACTATAGCCATAGTGGTCATGGACTCTAACCCTCTAAAACTGTAAGCCCTCCAAATGTCTTTCTTCTACAAGTTGCATTGGTCATAGTGTCTTATAACAGCAATAGAAGAGTAACAAAGACACACAGCAAGTCTGTTACTCAACCCTGGGTTTATAAAGGTGATAATTTCCATGTACATTGTGTGATTCCTAAGCACCAAGTACTTAGTAGACAGTAGATGTTCATTGATTATAGTATATATTTTTTTAAACTGGAAGTAACAGAAAATCCAACTCAGTCTGTCTGGAAGAACAGTTCCCAGCTTCTGTAACTGCGATGCCCAGGGGTGAAGTAGGCTCTCACTTGGTTGATTCTCAGGCTCAGCATTAGGAACCCAGTACTTCCCAGTCTCTGCTCTGCCCTCCCCAATCCTAGGTTCCTTCCTCTTGAGGTCACAGAATGGAGACTTGAGGTAACCAAGTCTCCCTTTTCCTCTGGATCTTCCTTAAAAGCAGGGGTGGTTTCTCTAGCTCCCCAGCAAATGTCCTTCTGAGTCTCAGTGACCTGAACGTCTCACATGTCATCTTGGATCCGACTCCTGACCCCATGGGGTCAAATTGGCTCGACCTTAGCAAAGCGATGGGCCACCACTACTGGACTGGGCTGCTTGGTGTGTACATGTGGACTTACAGATGGTCCCCATCTTCACTGCTGCTCTACAGTGATGTCGAGAGAAGGGTTTACAGCCCGAGTGGCTGTCCTGGTACTTTCCCCAGTAACCCTCACACTTACACATATATACACCCCACCTTGAGATATGGATCCAAGTGGAGAATTAGATACAGATATCAGGTAAGGGTTGACCCTGGTGCAATTACTGAGGCAGCTTGATTGGGGTATTGATGTGTTAGACTGGTGGAAAATTTGCCCAATAATTCACCCCATAAATTAAACCAATGTGCACAGCTTCAGGGAAGTTCTGCCCAAGCAAGCTTACCTAGCACATAGCAGCAGGGATCAGGCCGCCCACACTTAACCCACAGGAGAGACGTAACCATTTCCCCCCAGCCCCAGTAGGGTTCACATCTTTCAGTTGAGTAAACCCCCTCCTCCTTTCCAGAAGAGTGAAGGACATACTCTTCATGGAATAGTGAAGGCTTGGAAAACAAGGGGAATTCTTTCCCCAATATCCCAGAAGGCCGATTTTAGAATATCTTATTTTATAGAATGCAAGACCATTGGAAATAGTTCTGGCCACATTTTCTCTTCTCCCAAGTGAGGACAAATGCTCAGAGTCACTAGAAAAAGTGGCCTGGATTCTATCCCTGAGGAGCTTATACAGAGCCTGGGAAGCCAGGCTAAGCCAAGTGAAAGTGAAGGAAGCAAAGTCTGGGTCAGGAGGGAGAGGATGGGCCCAGCCCGGGAGGGCCTTGGTAGAGCCCAGTGTGACTGCCCGGGCCTCCTGCTGCTCCTGAGAGCTGCCTTCTTCTCTTTCCCTGGCAGTGGAAGGAAACAGTGATGAACTCGATGAACCCATCAAGGCCGTGTTTGCTGATGTGCCTTTTGTCCAGAGGCACAACCTGATGAGCTTGAACTCCATCAACTGGTCTCGGGTCCTGGTGCAGATGGCACACCACTTCTTTGCTTATTTCCAGTGTGCGCCCTCCTTGGACACGCACCCCCTACCCCCTGTGGAGGTGGTTGTGCCAACAGGAGCTGGGGGTAACCTTGCAGGTAAGGAGACCCGGGGATGCAAATGGACTTTCTAGAAAGCACCTAGCCTTTCAAGCTGTCTTTTGCCTACAAATGTGGAGCAAAAGAAGGTTGTGTTTTTATTCTAAAGAGGACAGAAAACCACATGGGATGCCCTAGGTTTCTTCCAGCCCCAGAGGACGGGAACAGAACAGTCTAGGGTACCGCAATGGGAGGAGATTGAGGATTCAACCAGGGGAATTTCAGCGGCCTAGCCTGTGCTTACTTACACAGTAGATAGTAGACAAGTCAAGGCTCAGCCACAAACATAGCTTGGTGTCCTTTCCCCAAATTTGCACTTCACTTCCTACTCTGCCCACTGCCTGTTGAGGCACACCTGCTTTGGGCCATAGCACAGTGTGTTCTCATTACCCTGGGGCCATGGCATCAGGAGGTCTTGCCTTGGCTCTGCCCTTTACTAGCTGAGCATTAGAGAGTTACTCAACTGTGAAAGGCTGGCTGATCACGTGCTCAGAGCCGCCTGTGAGGAGCGAGTATGGCTGTTGGGCATGTGTGAACTTTGTCCAGGGACAGTGCTGTCCAGCTGCCTGGCACCGAACACTAAGGAACATTCTCAAGCATTAACTGTGCACCAGGTGCTGCTGTACTAAGTGTAGGGATAAGCCCTCCCCTTGGGGGCGGGCTGCCCTCGGGCGTATGTTTACTGATATATAGGGTGTGCAGATGCTGTGCTATGTAAAAAAAAAAAAAAAAAGGGGGGGATTAACTGGTTTGATGGGATGATTGGTATTTGTGAGTTACTGTTTTTAGAAAATTGTATTGGTACTGTTTCCTGTATATTGACATATTGAATATTGAATGTGAGTGTTCCTACCTCTATTTTTGTATAAGAGTATGCTTATATTGTATTGATACATCTACCATATCACAATGTACATTTCTACCTCTGATACTATTTATGTAATAACATTGTTTACATTTGATATGTAATGACATTGTTTACAGATGAAGATCATTGTCTTCATGTATTGCACAGTTGTTTATTCTTTTTAGTCTTCAAGTTAGATAGGTATTGAGAATTTTATGTTGTTCATGTTTATTTTTAGGTTAATAAGGTATTCTAGATACATAGAGATTATATTTAGTATAGATAGTATAATCTTCAGCCTCTTTAAAGAGCTGTAGAAAATGGCCTTTAAGCTAACCTAGAATTCTGTGCCGAGACACAATTACTCCTGGCGACACCACTCTACTCCCGAGAGAACGTTGAGCACCAAAGACACTCCACTGGGAGTTTGTCTTCTTGGCAGAATTGGCCTTTGGGTTAAGAAAAGCCCATACCTCATCTACTGACAAAGATATAAAACAGGATTTTCTTATCTTGCCAAGACAGGGTAGGATAATTCTAAGAAAATTCCTTGCATTTGATAATGGTATGTCAGTTATGCTAAGCCTTAGCCAAAGTTGGTTGACTCAACATTGCGAACGAGAATTTGGGTGATTGCCCAGGTAGTCTGTTGTCTCTGTCATTTATGGCACGCTTTGGATATCTCTCATTTGTTAAGTAATATTTATTCCCTTCTCGGATCTTTGACGGAGTTGAAGATTATATAATTGTAATTACTCTCTACATTATTTAGACTCCTTGAGATAGAATGTCTGACAAAACTTTCGTTCTCAATATTGTTTGTTATATCTATTATTTATTATTATTGTTTATAGTTGTATTTAGGTTAGTTCTGTCTTATTTAGACAAAAAGAGGGAGATGTAGGGATAAGCCCTCCCCTTGGGGGCGGGCTGCCCTCGGGCGTATGTTTACTGATATATAGGGCGCGCAGATGCTGTGCGCTCTCTCCTGTCTCCGCCGGCTACTCCGCTGGAACCTTGGTTTCGTGAGTCTGGTTTTGTTATTAAACTTGTTCAAATACCTATTATCTTTGGTGATTATTAATCCACCGCTATAACTAAGTGCTTTTCATGGGTTAATGATTTCATGGGACTAGGAACCACAGCTGTCTCCTGATGTGCATGGACAGTGGGTTCTAGGACCCCCGCGGGTACCAGACTCTGCAGATGTTCAAGTCCTTCTGTAAAATGGCATGGTGTTTGCATATGACCTACGTGCACATATGTGCCGCTGAGTACTTTAAACCACCTCTAGATGATGTAAAATAGCATACAGTATGCAGGTGCTATCTAAATGGCCATTGTACTGTAAGGAGTATTTGCAAGACAGAGTCTGAACATGTTTAATACAGGTGCAATTATTTTTTCTTGATATAGGTTCTCACTATGTAACTCAGGCTGCCCTTGAACTCAGTATAGCCCGGGCTGCCCTGGGAAGTCTCCATCCTCCTGCCTCAGCTTCCCAAATGTTGGGATTATAGGATGTATCACCACAGCCTACTTTGGATAGTTTTGATTCCTGGTCAGTTGAGTCTGCACTCAACTTCCATCTGCATTATTCTTACCGTTTTAGAATGAGGAACTGGACACAGACGTTAGCTTCCCGTTTACACAGCTGGTTGGTAGTGGAGCCAGGCTGACAGCCCAGGTAGACTGGAGTCCACATCCTTGCCTTCTCTTGAGAAGGCGATGGTGTTAGCTCTGTCTGTGGCATTGCTTCTGTAGGCATCAGGGTGGTTAGGAGACTCCTTGGCTTCTTAAAGGAAGACAGAGATGATAGTGGGCCGGCAGCTGGCAAGGACGCTGGTTTCCCCACTACCCAGTGTGCTTCCCTTCAAGCTAGTGATGCCACCTATAGCTGTGCCCTTCATAGCACTTGGCACAAACTAAAGCATGGGCAATACCCAGAGAGGACATTCCCATCTGGCATTTTTCCTAAGGACCCATTTGATCAAGTCTTTGGGCGCTCCTGAGCGTCCTTGTTTCCTCATCATTGAAGGGCACTGTAAAGTTTCTGTGAGGATCAAGTGTCACGAGAGTATGAATGGGCTTTACACAATTTAGGGTGATAGTGGTGAATATTCCCACCGCCCTCCAAAAAGTAAGGGGCTGGAGATGGAATCAGTAGGTGAAGTGTTTGCCACACAAGTCTGAGTTTGGATCTTTAGACATAAAACTGGACGTGGAAGCACATATCTGTAATCTCTGTGCTCCCACAGCAAGATGACAGAGACGGAACCCCAGAAGCTGTGTCACTAGCCTGGCGTGTCAGCAGTGAGCAGTTAGCTACCCTCCCTAAAGCAAGGTGGAAGGCTAAGACCTGGGCTCTGCAGTTTGGTAGGATTTGTCTCCTCTTCTGCAGTGGGTGGCCTCACAAACTAAGTAAATGTGTTAGTCCCTGGTGGGCAGGGCACAGTTGCCCTCCTCCTTATCTCTCTCCCTGCTCCTGTGGCTCTCCCCATTTCTCTCTGTTCTCATCTTCAAACAGCACAAGAGTTTGTCTGCTTTTATTAAGCTCGGTTTAAAGTAAAAGTTCTTCACTTTTGTCCTAAAATCCTGTTGTCTTCCTGTCTTGTCCCAAGCTGGGTGCATTGCTCAGAAGATGGGCCTGCCTATCTGCCTGGTTGTGGCAGTAAACAGCAATGACATCATCCACAGGACTGTCCAGAAGGGAGACTTCTCTCTGGGTGAGGTTGTCAAGCCAACCCTGGCATCTGCTATGGACATTCAGGTGGGCCTGTGGGGAGAAGAGCAGCTGCTGGGGGGTGGGGGTGGGGCAGGACCTGGATAGGGTTGGAACGAGGGTTAGCCTGGGACCCTGTCTCTCCACTCAGGTACCTTACAACATGGAGAGAATCTTCTGGCTGCTCTCTGGCTTTGACAGCCAGGCAACAAGAGCCCTCATGGAGCAGTTTGAAAGAACCCAAAGTGTACACCTACCCAAGGAGCTACATAGCAAGGTTGGTCACTGGCCATATGCGGTGGGGGTGGGTCTCTGCAACTTCCATAGCCAGCAGAGTAACGATCTGACGGAAGCAAGATGGCAGCTGAGTTCAACAAGACTCAGTAGACAGTGTTGATTCAATTGTCTTGTGTCTGGCCTCTAGTGGTTTATTTCAGGCATGCTTAAGCACAGCACAACATGGTGAACATTATTCTTTTCTTTTGATGATTAATTCAGTCCCGTGTACACAATAAAGCATACATAGATCTCCTTGGAGAACCAACTAAGCTAAATACAGATCAGGCACGACTACATCGCAACTCTTTGTAAGGTCTATAAAGATTGATTCTATAGATTTACTGATAAGGGCCTGGGAGATAATCCAGTGCATAGAACAAAGGTCACCAGGCTAGTAAACACATCCACATCCAGCCTTCTAGGTGGACAGATAGTGGTTATTACATTTCTTCCCTCGAAAGAGAAACCCTGTGTGCTAAACCTTCTAGGTTCCCTGAGCGCTTATCTGTAAGCACAGAGATGCCCCTATGACATCCCACGGAGGAAGGGAAGGATGCAGCCACTGGGCAGACTTGGGGTTGGAAGTCTGCGCAAAGGAGGGGGAACCAGGAGCTTCACAGCTGGCACTGATTGGATGAGGAGAGTTGTGAACACTAAGCCAGCTTTATAAAAGTGGCGCCTCAGTTTCCTCATCTGGAGAGCAGGGATAATAGGAAGCCTGTGACTGGGACAGCTACCTCGCAGCAGCTCTCATCATCACAAAGCTCCAGGATGTGCTCCGTCTACACTGCACAGTCTGATTTTACTTCAATGTCCTCCACTTTAATAGAATCTTCATTTGCCAACTCCATCTTCCCAATTCCTTTAACTTAGTCCTTTACATGATATAGTTGTTCTTGGTTAGTGTCCCTCCTGAAGGGTTCTTTTCAAAACTGGGTATAGTTATCTGGCCTGAGTTATGCCCTTGAGGACTAAAGTGGGACTTCCTTCTTTTAGAATCTATACTGCTTTAAAAACTTCCCATTATTTTTATTTAATGTTTATGAATGTTTACCTGTGTATATTGTATGTGTACCTTATGCATGCAGTGCCTATGGAGGCCAGAAGAGGGCATCAGATCCCCTGGAACAAGAGTTACAGATGGTTGTGTGCCACCATGTGGGTGCTGAGAACCAAATTTGGGTTCTCTGCAAGAGATAACTAAGCCATCTCTCCAGCCCTATGCTGCTTTTGACTTAGCCAAACATTAATTTGTTTGGCCCATGGTTTGTGCTATGGAATCAACATTCCTTCCCCTTATGTAAATAAGATCCTCCATTAACACTGGTCATCATATCCTCTGTTTCTTCATTTTCTCCCTGGCTATACTCAGAGGACACTGTATTTGCTGGAAGGGCATTTATCCATCCATCCATCCATCCATTCATCCACCCATCCACCCATCCATCCACCCACCCACCCATCCACCCACCCATCCATCCATCCATCCATCCGTCCGTCCGTCCGTCCGTCCGTCCATCCACCCACCCACCCATCCACCCATCCATCCATCCATCCATCCACCCACCCATCCATTCATCCAATCTGTCTGCTATGGTTCAAGAACTAGGTTAGGTGCTGGGAATATGAAGAGAAAATGCAGCTGTCACACTAAGTGATGTATGTCAGTGGTAGAGCACATACTTAGTATGCATTAGGTCCTGCATTCAATCCTTAGAAGTAGAAAAAGGAGGAAGATGA